GGAGAGCAATTCAATTTGTAGAATTTCCCCCCCCCCCCCCCTTGGTTTTATGAATGACAAAACGATATAAAAATCTCAATCTCGGGGAAATGGAGACGAGAATTAAGAGAGGAGGAATATATGTTGAAGGTCATAAGGGATATGTTTGGGTCTACCAAAAATCTGGGGAAAAACATTAGGGATCTCGATGTTTCTATGTTTTCAAAACGTAGCAGGGGGTCTAGAGGCCCAGAAAAGAAAACATAGATATTTGAAAAACCTGTATTTTGGATGTGATGGGGAACTAACAAAAAGGCCATACTGGAAAAATCAGGGCTCGGGCCGACAAAATTCGGAAAACATCTTTTCCAGTTTTCAGAATATCTGAATGTCGGAAATTCGAAAAAAAAATCGCATACCAATTTTTTGGTAGCCTTAGAATTCTCGTAATTAAAAGGAAAAAAAGTACTGAAAACATTTTCGTATAGTTTTTAAAGATTTTTGGAATAAATTCCAAAACATCGAATTTCTTTCCGCATACTTCAAGTTAGAGTTCAAACATAATAAATGCGAAAGACTTAGAAATATAATTTTGGGCGCTTTTGGCAAACAAGGCAAACATCTGTGAAGCTTGGCCTAACTCTTGCTGGCCTAGAAAAAAACCTAGTACCTCACAACGAATATCTGCGACGAATATGGAACACTCGTGCTGGCCTAGAAAACGCTGGTCTCTCTGAATCTTGAAAATACGTAAATGTTTTAACAGTAGAAGGATGAACTTGGTTAACGTTTCTCAAGCTTCTCAAATCAAAATAATCACGAAAATGATGAGAGATTCAACTAGTAGCTTTTACGGTTTTACCACTAACCGTTGGTCAATAAATGAATGGAATTGCATGAGATTGAGACCTTATAGGGTCTTGTTTGTTTGTAGAGAGTACATAAACTGCAAAATCGATTCATGATGGATCGGAAAATGGTAAATGTGTTAACATGTATAGTGTCAGGTATATTTAGCTTATTTTAATGGAACATAGTCAAGTTTGAAATTCGAAAAAGTGCTCCAGAGTTTTTTCTCATAGTAACCCATCTTATACTTTGAGCTCAATGATCTCGGTTCCTATGAGGGATATCAAAAATTTATTAACTGATAAAATGTTGGTAATTTTACGAAAAGCATTTTATGAGTTAACAGATTTTTGATATTTTTCACTGGAATCGAGATAATTGAGCTCAAAGTTGACGGCTTGAGTGTGCCTACTTTTATAGGAAATACGGTAGCTGCTACTGTATGAACTCCGTCCTAACGATGAGCAATTTTAAAAGTTCTAAAAAAACTGACGCAGGATTCAATTGGAAAAAAGCACAACAGCTGTACCAGCTGTTATGGTCATACGACTGTCTCAATAGAGCATCATTTCTCGCGTCCTAGAGTTCAAAATTCATTCTTCACGAAAAGCGAATTCTGGGAAAACAAAAGATGGAGCATCAATCGATTCTGTTGCTTTTTCTTCATCTCCATTTCTCTTCTTCTTCTTTCCATCCATCTACTACCCATCCATTCTTCTTTCAATTTTCAACCGTCCCTAGATCTAGAGATCATATGATTTTTGGAGAGTGCAGAGAAAAAAGAAGAGAGGCACTCTTTCCTTCAAAATTCTTTCCGACCGCACATCTGGCATTCGTCTGAATAAAAACCGTCGATGAGTTGAGAGAGGAGGAACGAAAAAGAAGCATTTCGCTTTTTTTCTACAAATGTAAAAACTAATGAAAATGTTGAAATCGTTGTGTGGGTGGATCGCGGGGAAACTTGGTTTCAAATTTAAAGCTTAATTCAGAAAAGTCTAGAATCAATTTTGGTAAAAATTATAAAATCCTGGAGTCATGGGAGTTCAATAAAAGAGCCCGAAGATCAAGGTCAGCGAGCAGCATTTTCGCATCTGGCGGACTTTTGCTTTTTCTTACTACATTCCCACCAAGCACATCGATGTCATAAGTTTGGGGATTTGGAAGGATGCAAGGGACAGATATTCTGAGATTTCCGAGTAGATTCGACTGATTTGTGTGGTACGGGAAAATAGTAAAAATCAATAAACCAGTGTTTCTATTTTTCCATTTTCCAAATAAGATGTCTGAAAAGTCATTTTGGGAAATTTGTTGTGTTTTTGGGGGTTTTCTTTTGTGTTTTTTAAAAATATTTCCAGGTATCTGGGATATGAGATTCATAGATTCTCAAAACTTGCGATTTAAAAAATAGTGAGAATTCGTTGTTTTTGAGATTTCTGATTTATCGGAACTTCATACTTGCAAAATTACGGGCCGGCCCGGGCGGTCGAATTTTTAGCGGACCGGATCGCTGTTTATACAGAAGCTGATTTTTTCGACATTTTTGCAAACAGATTTTGAGGATCCGGTTTTGGGTTTCTAAATATCTGAATTTTCAAAATACGGAATTTTTCAAAACACTGACTTCATCAAAAAGAAAAAATATTCCAGTATAAAATTCAGGCCCCGGATAAATATTATCGCTTTCAAGTACCGAACGGAATATCTAGATTTTAAAATCCTCGAGTTTTCATTCTCACTTGCTGGAAAAGCTAGTTTCACAGGATTTGTCCGAAAATATTCCCATCGAAATTATTCAAAAATCGACAGTAGTCCAATTTTCTCGCGCCTCAACCACCTAATCTATCAAATTGGGTGCTAAAAAAGAGGTCATCATCAATTTTTGGGTAACTTCTCCCAGAACAAAAAAAGGAGGTGAAAAACGAAGAAAATGAACTGTCTCTTCGATACCATAAAGTGGAAAAAGAGGAAAATCTCCCGTTGTGTTTCTTCCCTTCCGAAGGTGTCTCATCACTGTCACTCATCCCCTTCTCTCTTCGAATTTCAAATTTGGCGCGTGCCACCCGTCAAATGAAAATAGTGCACGAAATGGCGGAGATTCTAGATAGATTAGACATAAAATGGCTTTGTTTGGATTGAGACACGGTACTGGGTGCCAAAGAGAGACACACACGCGATTTGATTTTAACAAAAAAGGAGGGGAAATTGAGAGAAAAAAAATGAAGATGGTTTGGAGATAGGGGGACACCGCGCCACGCTTATGAGATCGAATAGAAGCAATGTGGGGTACATTAGCTTTTCGTCTATTTAGAGGATACAGTACCGGACTATATCATAATTTTGCTTTTTCAGTGTATCTTGGAAAGCGAATTTCAGCTTCCCTGATCTATCTATGTATCTGAGTTTTTCCGGATTTTGACAAGCCCAACATATGCGTGCACTTTGAGTTCAACTCTATCTGTTCCTTCAAACGAAACCAAAAACTTGTCAAGAAATAAAATGTTGGTAATTTTACGAGTAACATTTTGCCAGTTAAAACATTTTTTGTAAATTTTATAGGAATTGAGATAAATTAACTCAAACTTGGCGTGTGGCGGGCCTTTTATCACCGGTTTTACGACATAATTTATCCGTCGAACATTTTTTGATTGCTAAAACTACAGAAAAAAAAATAAAGAAAATGTAAAAATAATTTATTACTTCAGAAATAAATGGTAAGATAAATCAATCCGTTCTTTCGTATTTTCAGCCTGTCATCAGGAACGCTCCGAATGAATAAATTGTCTAATCTCAGTTCCAGGAATTGATAAAGTTATGTTTGTTCCGACACATCAGGTGGTGAGCCTGTGTCGGAGCGAAAGTACAAAGATAGGTCAATAGTTAAATCAACAACTATTTATTAACTGGTTTAGGGCTCTGATTAGGGTCTTCATGACATCTGCAGTCGGCGTCCACCAAGGTTCCGATCCAGCGACAGGGGTTCCGTTGATAGGAGATAAGGGGTGTGCACCATCTATTTACCACGATTAGGTGGTTGCAGCTTGAAGAGATGTGGCATCGGTAGTTGGTTTGGTCTTTGGGCGTCAGTAGTCGGATCCGGCATCATAGTGTTCAGTGTTAGGGAGATCCTTTTGGTTGCTCCATTGTATCAGATGTCTCAGAAGTATCAGATGTATCATCATACTGGCGATTCTGCTTCCTTTTATAGCATCTCCTAAGCATATCCACGTTTATGCTCCAGATCTGATATGGTGATAAGGAAGTGATCACGCCAAATATGTATCGTTAAATAGTTGGAGAATTGTGTTTATGACTATTTTTGTCATTCTAGATGTGCTCTAGTATTGTTGGATTTGAGGTCGTGCAGTAGAACCTCTGCTGCCGTGACAATCTTGAACATCACGCACTATGTTCCTCCTAGCTGCTATTAGGGCCAGCTTCAGCTCTCACTCCTGCGGATCCAGGCTCCTGGTTCCTGCCTCCAGGATGTCAGATCAATCTCTTAGTTTCTTCTTATTTTCAGTCTGAACCATCAGGAACCACTTCAACTGATCCTGATCCAGACCCGGGCACCCCCAGTCACCAAGACCAGGGCTTCAAGACGCGGGCTCCAAACCCGGCTCCAGGACCCGGGCACCAGGTTCCCGATCCAGGATCGATCTGGAGCCCAGAAAAGGGCAGAACTGATTCTTCCCTTTGCTTCCCTCTTCTTTTATAGTAATCTTCCTGAGGTCAATCGAGGGGGCCCATCGAGGGTCGTGGGTTTTTACGTCTATATTTTGGTGGAGAATTCAATTTGTAAGAACTTTTTGGCACGCAGATTTTTTTATAAAACAAATAAATTTTTTATTTACGTTCAAAAAATTGAGATTTGATTTTTGAAATTCTGTGAAACTCTATGAAAAAATTGTCCCTTTGAGCCTAATTATCTCGTTTCCTGTTTAAGATATCGAAAAATTGTCAACCAATGAATTGTTTCTGATATTAAGGTGAACATTTTTGCTGTCAATAATTTATTGATATCTTTTACAGAAAACTAGAAAAAGTTGGTCAAAGTTGACTCTAATAGAATCCCCTCTCCCCAAACCGCAAACTTTGAGTCAATTTATCTGGATTCCTATGAAATATATCGAAAAGCGATGATGCAAAAAAACTGTTTTATTCTCAAATTTTATTTACTGTTTATGAAGCCTAGCCTTCGATCGATAAGGGTACGGATTACGGTAGACATTTCCACGATTCGGACACTGACAATAACCAGCATCCGGGCCAGGTCCACCTGGCAATCCTTGTTCTCCAGGTGTTCCATTTCGTCCCTGCATTCCAGGATATCCTGGTTTCCCTTCAGGACCTGCGGGACCAGGTAGCCCAATTCTTCCTGATTTTCCATCTCTTCCAGGTTGTCCTTCCTTTCCTGGATACCCTGGACGACCCATTCTTCCTGGTAATCCTCTCCCTTTCTTTCCATCTCGGCCTGGCAATCCTGGCTTTCCATCTTCTCCCGGTCTCCCTGGTAATCCACTATTTCCTTGTTCTCCTGGTCGTCCTGGTTTTCCATCTGCACCTCTGTATCCTGGATTTCCTGGTTTTCCATTGGGGCCAGGTAGTCCGGGTGCTCCATCTCGTCCTGGATATCCTGGTAGCCCTGCTGGACATCTGATACAGTCTCTTTCTGGTTCAGGGCATCTGATGGGTTCGAAGATTTGATGATTGTCGTCTCCAGGTACTCCTCGTGAGCCAGGGGTTCCAGGAGAGCCCGGGTTACCAGGTGCTCCTGAAAATAAAAATTTCAGAATTTGAAGTTAAACAAGGGGAATCTAGATTTGACAAAAAAAAATCTCAGAATGGTTCATGGTTTCCGAGTTTACAATTTTCAGAAATCTCTCTAGCTCCTCAAGCTCCAGAATTTCCTACTAACCTGGTGGTCCCGGTGGACAAATCGGTTTTGTCGGCTCACATTGACACCAAGATGGAAGTCCTCCATAAGTGTGTCTCTTCTTTTTCAAATGACTTTCAAATGGATTTTTTGGTGCTCGAGAGGGCGGAGCTACAGAAGTTTGCACATCCATCATGTCGTGCCAAGCGGGATCCGTTTCGAATTGGAAGACACGAATCGATTCATTGACCTGAAGAAAAGAAGGGAATTAGATGAATGGAATGCTCGGAATTCGGTCAAAATAATGGAAAAAGGTGTTAGTTTTTCCGAGTCATTTTGCAATTAGATTGTTAGTTTTTTCAAATGAACGCATTTGAAAGACACCAAGATTTTAGCAAAAAGGATTTTGGCAAAAAAGAGAGATTCCGAAGTTTGAGGACATACCATTTTCAAAGTAATACCGTAAAACCTGCAATATAAGGGCACCCTAAACGTTTAACTTTGGGCCAATTTATCTCGGTACCTGTCAAAAATGTAAAAAAAGTTGTCAACTGATAAATTGTTTATCATAATATCACAATTATTTTACCATCTAACACATTTTTGATATGTTGCATAGGAGACAAGAAAAAGAGCTCAAACAGGACAGTGTCCCTTCTTTAATGGGTTTCACGAAAATTCAAAATTCTGAATTCAAGAATCTCTAACATTGAAAATTCTAAACATACCTGAATTTCCATCTCATCCATTTCTTGGAACAATCCATGAAGAACCACGAGACAACTCAAAATTGCTCCTAAAGAGCCAATTGTGGAGACAGCGGCCACTGCCTTTACCTCCCACAACATCTTCGGAATCCTCCAGATGACGAATTCTAGGCAAATTCAGAATATGTTCTCTTCCCAACAAAGTACCTCTATTTTATACTGCTACGGGTAACTGGTTATTTTCTTCACTCCTCCCTTTCGGTTTTGTAGAAGAGTGAATTAAAATGCATTTGCAAATTACGGAAGCGAAGGAAAAGAACTTCTTTGTGTCATTTTTCTTCGTTCCACGCTCTCTCTCTCTCTCTCTCTCTCTCAGTTGGTAGGCAAAAAACCATAAAATAAGAAATCCCATTTGATGGATATTCTTTTTGGCGGTTCTTCGCAGTGAAAACCAATAATGAGATTTATTCCGTTTAGATGGCACAAAAAAATTCAAAAAGGAGCAAGCAATAGAGCAACATTGATGAGTTCTAGAGAAGGAAGAAAAATATTAAGATCCAGAAAAATAGGGTCCAAAATTCATTGAACGTTTCAGCTATCTAAAAATCAGTGCCGTTGACTTCCAGCCATTTTTTCTCGGTCCTTTTGAAAGATGTCAAAAATGGTCAATTAATAAAATATTTGTGTTGTTATGATAGGCAAAATGTTGATATTTTTCACAGGAGCCGAGAAAAATTGGCTCAAAGTAAACCACCCTTCAGACCCTTCAATAAGACTAAAATCATCATTGGTTATAACTTATATCAGACGTCCTGAAAACAGAGCTTCCAGGAATCTCAAAACCTTTTTCAACTATTCAAAGACATCCAGTGAAAACAACTCGATTGCTAGAAGTCCAAACCACAGGGGTAATTATTAGCAAGAAAATGAGGAAGACCTTGGAAACCTGAAACCAGTAATTTGCGGTTTAATTGTACTTTATATAGAGTGTAGTTCAGTTTTTCAGGGGAAGTTTGAACTTTTGTATTTTATCGTCTACAAGAAAAATGTCTGAATCAAGGTACATTTCCCTGAAGTTTCGGATGTTTGAACTTTGTAGAAAAATTGAAGATTGAAAAGAAATGTGTGTTGAATTCGGAATTTGGTTGATGTTATTATGTAGATTCTGCGTTTTCTATTCCTTCTGGGGCTCTTAAAAATACAGATTTTCAAAATGACATCATACAAGGTCCCATGAAAAAGAATTACGTTTTGTAGTTGACAAGAGTGTTAAAACCTTCGATGGAGAAGATTTTTGAGATTTTGAGATTCCGAAAATTTTCATTTTTTGGAATTTTGTAAATCTAGGTTTACATTTTTTCAAGACGCTGATATTGATTACAATCGAAAACTACAGTAATCCAAAGAAAAAATATTTTCCCAATGATAAAAAATTAATTAATTAGAATTTCCGCGTGCTCACTTGGGTTCAAGCCAACGGGTCAAAAAACGCGCCCCAAATAACTTTTAGGCCAGAAGAAATTTAATAATCTTTACGTAGACGTGGATTTGACCTTATTAGTTTTAATCAACGAGTTGCAACGCGTGATTTTTTCGTGCAATTTTTAAAAGTTAGATCCTCAGCCACATAATTCAGCAGCGAATTTTTTCTAAAATCTCACGTTTACTGGGGCGCGATTTCTGACCCATTGGCTTTAAGCCAAGTGCATGCTGCATACTTTCATGAACTCCTTTCTTATCTTTAGATCTCATTTACGGAGGCTATATAAGCTGGAGAAATCGACGAGAAGTCATAGTTCTAACTATCTTCCAGGACAGCTGGAATGAACCAAGAATGGGAATGCACCGATCCTTCTATGAAGACAAAGGACTTCTCGAATGCGAAACTCCACGAGGATCGCCGTCTCAATGAGGATTCCCACAGTCAGGAAGCTCTTGCTTGCGCTGTTGATTGGTGTTACTTTTTCTTTGTCTTCTGATTGGTGTCATAGTGGACAAAGTTAAGACACTATACTCGCCATGTTTGGGGTTCATGGCTAGGATGATCATTTCCACTGAACGTCCCCCGTTCACAACTGACCAAAATCAGATTTTAAAAGAAAATGAAATAACAATGAATAGCGTGCGCATCTCAACAAACATTTCAGTATTTCAGTATTTCCAGTATTTTCAGCATTTCAGAATTCTACGATTTTTCAGATTTTTTTCAAACATTTTGTGCTAAATCATGTTCCTCTGTCTCTGACTCACCGCATCGCTCCCATCGATATCACTTTAATTTTTCGATTTTTTCACATTGTAACAATACCACTTTGTACCCTCTGGATTGTATTTTATTTAACGCTCAATAAATTCAAATACCGTAAACACTAATAGAAGCCCACCCTATAAGTGCAACTGTGAGCTCAATTATCTTGGCTCAACTGAGAGATATCAAAATTTTTTCTTCTAGTAAAATATTGTTGATGTTATGGTAAACATTTTGTCATTTGGTAACTTTTAAATATCTTTCACAAGAACCGAGATATACGGGCTCAAAGTTGTTGGTTCTATGTTTACGGTAATTCAATTCAGATAAAATTTCAGACAACTTTTTGGGAGAATGCGACTGACAACCAATTTCACACGAATTTTTCCATATATATTTATGAACAGATAATTACAAAATCTTTTTATTCAAGCTGAAAATTTCAGAATAATTCAAATATTTGTTATTCACAAAATAAATGACAGTATAAAATATGCCATATTTCAATTTTTCAGTTAAAATTAGTCAACTTTGGAGTCTTGAAAATGCAAAGTTATTCCATTGCTTTGAAAAAAAACTTTTAGAATTGACATCTTTTCTTGCCAAATTCCATTCTGATGAGATATGCGGTTTGTAACCAAAACAGTGCACAAAATGAGCACTAAAACGAGCGTTTTGCCAACTTACCAAATTTTATCTCGGTTTGTTGGATCTGTACAAAAAGTTGCCAACTACAAAATTGGAACCCTAATTTTGTTTAGTCTGCTCTGAAATTTTCAGCAGAGTTCGGTAACTTTTGACTTCTTGTCAAGTTCATTTCTGAACGGGTTCTTAAAATTTTGGAGCATTTTTTCTAAAGTCGAACTATTAAATTTCGTTAAATGAATGAGTTCGTTAAAATCAGTTAGACCGCTAAACGATGTGAGTAAAATAACCATTTCATATTGTAAGTTGCAAAATGTCCTTTCTTCTTGTATCTTTTCCTTGCCCTTCCCATGAATTTATAAACAAACAGAAATTCAAGGGAGGTGCACGAATTCTTCTCTTCTCTACTATTCTTCTTCCCCCCGGCTTCATTCCCCCGAATATCCGTTTCCATTTTTCCATTATTTCACCAGTCGAAAACACATGTCCCTTCCTCACTGGTGAAACGAAAAAAGAGATGTTTTGGCGCCGATTTCGCGCATTTTGAATTGAGAGAAACGACTCAACCATCTGCATACATTCCTGTCCCTGGTCCGAGTTTATTGTCGTTTCGGAACTCTTTATTTCTTTTGGTTTCTGGAGATTGGATCATTTCTTGGGCTTTCCGTCAAAGTCATTACAAATCTCATGCTCCTAATTCGGGTTATGAGATCTTAAATGAGAACTTATGAGGGGCGTTTCAGAGATAAATGTACGCCAGTTTCATGATCAAAAAGTTTTATATAGGGCAACTTTATGCACTTTTTTAATATCGAACGCCGGTTTATCGATGTATCTTCTCGTTTTTGTGCAAACACTCTTATAGAACGCTCCTAAAACTAAGCCAACCTTGAGACCATATATCTCATTCCTGTGAAAGATATCAAAAATGTTTCAACTGATAAAATGTTTATGATAATATCAACAACATTTTGCCAGTTGAGCACTTTTCAATATCTTTTACAGGAATCGAGATAACTTAGCTCAAAGTTAAAGGTTACGGGGGGGGGGGGGGTCGTTCTATTAGAGTGTTTACAGAAAATCAGATGATCCGAAATTTGAGCCATCCTGGACTTCTTGGACAGGCCACAAAACAACTCTATCCTGTTTTCAAGAAATTTTAAGTAACGGTTTCGAAAGGAGACGAGTTCGAAATATTTTATCTTATTTTATAATGAAGCGCGTTTTTCAAATTGTCACATTTAGATTTTCTTAGAGCCCCCGTCGCAGTTCCAAACAAGAATAATGGTAATTTCAGATGTTTGGAATTAGTGGAAATTCACCCCAATTTCTCGAAATTTTTCAAAAATGCCAAACAAAACCAATGTTCATTTTTTGGTGTGAGCAAAATTTTTCTATGGCTTCTTCTGAACACAATCTGTCGACTCCAAAAAATACTCAAATTTTCAGAGTTCAGGATTAGTGTGTGAAATCTAAATCATTTTTCAGTATATGAAAAACTGCAAAAACAAAAAATTTGCAAACTTTCTCTTATTTTTGAGCTCAGAAGCAAGTTCCCAACTCTAGAAAAGTATCCCAAGCTAGTAGTATAAACAAAAATGTATCCCAAACTTTCCTCCTCCATCTCCCATCGTTTTCCGCCAAATTAGATGCAATTACCCCGTGGTCGTCTCTCTCAAAATTCTTGTGCTCCTACTGGTGCCCTCCGTAGTGCTCCGGAGAGCTCTGACACCTCCACATCTCTCCCTTCACTTGTAATTCTTTTAGTCTTTGAAGCCTCTCATGCATTCCCAATAAGAGGATTCTTCTTGAGCTGCTCATCCCTCTCTCTCACCGCTTCTATCCTTTCGTGTATATCTGAAAAGCCTTCCTCCCCTCTTTTTTTGTGTTTCTCTACTATTCTCCACTTTTTAATTATTCCAAAGTGTTGATCTGTACGGGCGGTCCCCGGGAGACACACCCCTTCTACTTCTTTTCATGCCCCGATTTATGGGTTGCCAAACATTTCCGAATACCGCAACAAATACTTGCCGCCAATGAGTTTACCCTCTCTCCTTTTGGCGGCGATTTTTTCGATTTCGTTTTGTTTTTTGTTGAATGAGAGACAATGAGCGTTGAATCATTTGCAGCTGTTTCTGAAGAGAATCAGCAGATGGGATTTTTGCTTTTTTTTGGAATTTCGGGGCTTGTAAATATCATTTTTTCCCTCAAGGTTCTGAGATTCTTAATTTTCATGATTTCGGGGTTTTATAGAACACTTTGATTTTGAGATTCTGAAATTTTATGTGACCCAGAGTTCGATCAAATACAACCAGGAATACTTTACTCTAGAAATTTTTGAAGTTTTTTGGGGGAATTCAGAAAGTCCAGTTTTCTATACTCTTCTTGAAATGTGAGCCTCTTTTTCTCAAGTTCAATAATCTAGAAATAGAAGTAGAATCCTAAAATTTCAGAATCGAAGGATCCACAAATCTCAGAACCTTAGAATAGAAAAAATTCAAGTATTGGGTGGTCTTCTATTAGAGCAATTGCGGTAAGTTGATTGGGTTTTGGAAACTCTCATTTTCTGAAAACCTTTACTTTTTTCGAAACTCTCCAAAGAGTTAGTCATGATCCATTAAAAACTGTCAATCAGACAACTAAATTCAAAATGGCAATAATTGTATGTTCCTCAGACTCCTGTCAATACCAAAATGATTTGCAAACACGGTCATGCATGTCTCTCTCGCTCCCCCAACCTATCGCACCTTTTCATTGTCACCCCGTATACATTCATATTACTATTATTACCGTGTCTATACGCTGCTACCCTCTAGCAGAATTTCCGATGCAATTTGAGCCTTCTGAAAACCAGTCCCCAACATCATCAACTGACCATCGTCCCTCATCTCTCTGCCTCTCTATCTTCCTCTTTTTTCCGCCCGTTTTAATCTATTTGAGCCGTTGTCTTCTTCTTCTTTTTGTCTTTTGTCCCTCTATTTCCAAAATTTCGAAAATATATTGGGAAGGAAAAAAAGAAGAAGGCATGTAATGTTTACGCAACTGCTTCCTCCCATCGTTTTACACCGTTTTTTTTTGGGTGATTGTGTTTTTTGTGATAGGAGTTTTCGCGTTTTTTGTTGGTTTGGTGGTTCTGGTATTTTTGAAAATTCAGATTATGTGGATTTTTTTAATTTGAAAAAATTTGTATTGTTTTGTGGTCCAGAGATGTTGCCTTTCTAAGAATGTTTGAAGTTTCAAAGATCTTTTTCGAACACAAAATCTGAAGTTTATCTTTTTCATCTTTTAGTTTTTTTAGATTGTGAGGAGTTTAATTTTTTTAGATTGTGAGAAATTCTGAGATTTTGAGATTCTGAGATTCTGAGAATTCAAAGGCTTGGAATTTCAGAACTGATTTATGAGTTTGGGGGAGTTCTGAAACTTCAACAACTGAAATTTTCTAATTTTTAAAACTATTTGAGAGATTGAATAAAATCACTGTTGAAATTGAAATTCCACGCCTGGACTGAAATCCAAAAAATCTTAAAATTAGATCTTCAGTAACTTTCGACAGTTCAACATAATTCAAATGTTTCGAGTTTCAGCCATCTAGAAGTTCCTGAATTTGGAATTGTTAGTTTTCCAAAATTATTGAGACAAAAAAGAAAATAAATCTTTTAATTTTTCAAAATTTCAGAAAATTCCAAATTCTTAAAATTTTGATTTTCCCGATTTTTTAAAAAATTTTGATACTTCAATAATGTACACTTAAAATTTCAAATAATACTGGAATATCGATTCCGTCGCACGTCTTCTGCCAAACACCCAAAATTAACGGAAACGATTCTCATTTTCGCTCATTTCCGGTGCGAGGGGAAACAGAGACAAATTGCTTTTATCCATCCCATCTACCCGATTCCATTTCGATTGTTGCATTTTGGCACACAAAGATAGTAAACACCTCCTTCTATTCCCACTTTCTCAAGTATCTCGGGGGCATTTTTTCATTTTTCCCCCATTTTTTTTTCATCGCCGCCTGTCCACTTCATGACTCACAAAGCGCTCTCTTTTCATGCAATCGATACATTATTTTTGGAGAGAGCACAACACTAGAAATTGATAGATAGAGAGACGCAGACAGTTCAAGAGAAAGAATAAATGGAAATATTAGTCTTATTGTTTGTCATGTATTTGGCAAGAGTATGTTCTCATGAATCATAATCGTTTCCTTTTTCAATGATTCTTTCAATGGGTTCTACTTTTAATTTTTGTTTTCTAGTATTTTAGTTGAAAGGTTGAGATTTAGGGTTTTTGAGAGCTTCTTTCTGATTCACAACTGTTTTCTCTATGTACAGTACCTGAAAAATGTGTCCATATTCTTTGTCCTCACCCTTATTTTAGACACCCAAAACTATGAGCAACGTTTCGAAACTTTTAAATGTAAACCGTAAATTAAATTTGTAAATTTCGCAAGTTATGTCACTTTATTGTGTTTTCATGCCTTTTTTCCCTTCCTTTTGAATTCTCCTAACCTCTTTTCGATGATACTATTCCAGATGAGGAGCCCCAAAGACGAGGAGATGCCTCTTCGAGAACGCGGTGATAACGACGAGATCACTTTAGAGTTTTGCAATCGCAGATCCAGAATTCGAAGGAACAAAGCAGAGGATTCCGCTACTTTCATGTTTGATTATTTGAGGTAATAACTCTTTTTAGAAAAGTATTTTTTTTCTAGCTACCGTAATCTCCATTTGATTTCAGAGACCCAGAAGAAGGGGAAACTCTGAATTGGCGGGAGCTTCGAAAACTGAAAGCTGGAAAGAAATGGGGCGTCATTCGTCATCCGTATATTTTGAATTACATTAATCAGAAATTGATCGATTGTGCGCTTTTCTACAGTTTGCACATCTTAGCGTTCCTGTTTTTCTTCCTTCTCCTCGCTTGGCACGTCTTCTCAAGAAACATTTTCAAGGACTTCTTGATTAGTATCTTCACTGGAGTCTTCTTCATGTTCTTGGTAAAGCTTCGAATTTACTTTCTCAAAATACTCAAACTATTTTCAGGTCCTCAAAGGAACAATCAAGGCTAGAGTAACTAAAAGTGTGTCCACGTGGTTCGTCGTCGCTTTCTGCTTCAATATGTTCACCTACGGAGCCACTCTGTCTTACGTTTGGCTCCCCACTGTTTTCTCCTACGATGATTACCATCAGGAAGTTAAAGTAAGACTTCTGGACAAACAGAAAGCCGGACAATTGTTATCGTTTTTAGAAAATCATCACATGGTTCCTCCCTATCATCGCTATCATCTCTGCCTGGGCGAACCTCTTGTATATAATGAGAAAATCGCCATTTGGAATCTATATCTTCATGATGACTCGAATTCTCAGAAGTTTTGCACATGTGAGTATTTCAGAGAATTTAGCATAACTAAGGCTTCCGACCGGCCCTTTCATAAGGGCCGGTCGGAAACCGCCGACCGCCCGCCGACCCAGTCGATCGAGCTGACCGAATGCGTGCATTTGCGCATCAAAATACGAAAATTTGTGTACACGGTGTATTTATATCTGATCTTAAATTAGCTGAAATCGATCGCCAACTAGTAGCGGTTAACAACGCAAATGCACCCATTCGAACTACCATCACAACCTGGATTCAGTAATTTGAAAAACGGGAATTCTTGTCTGACGAAAATCCCCCTTCAAAAAGGCAAATGGGCTTAGGTTTGAATGCATTAAAAGCCGGGAAAGAAAGGGACCCTCCTCAAACTATGTGTGATATATGAAGTACATCAGTGGCAAGCCTTTCGTTAAAAAACCGTAGATTGAAAACTCTCGGCACAGTCAAAAAAGTGGGAAGAAATTGACCCCATCTTTTGGCTCAACGCAACTTTTTCCCCGGGTGGGCATCAGTTTGAATCTTCTCATCCTGCGTTGCACACATGAATGTTGGAATCAAACCATTGCTAGTGGTGATAAATGGGTAATGTGTGATTACAATAAGCGGCAAGCCAAATGGGTTGACGAAGGCGCTCAACCACCAGACGTCTCGAAACGTGAAATTCGTGTTAAAAATGGGATGTTGTCGGTATGGTGGTCTACCAAAGAATGGAGTATTAGGAGCTGCTTGATAATAGTGTCACTTTTACGACCCATACCTATTCTTATCAGGTGACATAACTTAGACTTTATGTGGATCTCCATTGGAGAGGAACGCAAAGGTTTATTTTGACATGATGAGCTGAAAAATGTGCTAAATATTCTGAGAAAAACAAAGCATAAATGAAAATAGACGTCGGTTTGAGTGATTTCTCAGCGGGCAGACTTGTCTGGTGTCTCTCCTATTCGTAAAGTCTCTCGCTTATTGCATAGGGATAAGTTCAATTTTCGGATAAAAAGTCCCAGTTAAAATAGAGATTTACTGTCCTGAATTAACGAAAAGCACAAAAACCACACTGCGCACCGAACAGTAACCAACTCCGCCTATTTCAAAAGCCTTGAAGCAAATTTGCAATTTCACCGCACGGTTTGACAAACTTTTCAGAAAACTGTTATTTCCGACCGGAATGGCCAATACAACTGTATGAAGAACACACTTTAAAAAATTATAGATTTGTCTGGAAACAATTTTTGAAAAGTGTGCGAGAAGTTTGCAAAAATGTGCTTCGCGTTCCCTCCGCTCGACACTAAAGATTTTCAAAAGCAAAACCTAAAATAAAGAAGGTTAGAGAGAACTGTATGGCGAGGTTTATTAGAGGATATCACGAAGAGAAAAATAAAATAATATATGAGGTGGAGACGCAGACACATGTCCTCTGCTCCTCCACATTTTTTTCAGATAACGATATTATAACGCCAAAACTGTAAATTCTAGGCCACCATCAGTTTTCGAAAACACGCAGATAGTAAACATGACTATAAATATTCAGACAAGACGAATTCATGTTACAGTATCGCCTAAAAAACACAATTTTGATGTTTATAAAAAACCAATCGTGTTTATTTTCAGATCGCCACAATCTGGATTCCAACTCTTATCGCCTTCTCCTTCGCCTTTCTTCTCATAATGCGAGATACCGGAGTCAAGCCATGGCCTCTTATCGACCAACAAGCTGCTAACATGACAATGGTTCAAACTATGCTTGTGATTCTACAAGCCGTCACCAAAACATCCACAATGATGATCGGAGAAGTTGATGCCAATGACATTCTTGACACCAATCAATGGATCCCATCAATTCTCGTCTTGGTCTTCGAAATAATTACAGTAATCCTTCTGATGAATTTGATGGTTTCGTTGGCAGTTGGTGACGTCACTTATTTAAAGAACACTGCACAGGATAAAATTCTGAAGATCAAAGTGAATTTTGTAATTGAAGCTCTCCAGCTGAGCGAGCAGTTCTCCAATAGTGTCTTCCGATTGCACACAAATCCCACATCGAATATTCTAGTGATTATGGATGATGGCTCTTATATTGCAACGTTCGATGAATTCCCCAAAGTTGCACCAGTTGCCGTTGCAGATGAAGTGAGATTTCTGCTTCTCATTGATATGGATGTCATAAATTCTCAATTTCCAGGCATTCAAAATCAGTTTCTTGGAGTCTGGAATGCGTCTTCGTATCAAAACAACTTCTGGAAAAGTCAAAACCGCTACAGTTAGCAAATGCGATATTGAGTGTATTGAATCCACAGAATCTGGAATTCCAGTCATCATGAGTACACCAGATTCTAAAATCTATGAGGTACCTTGGTTTCCAAGTCACTGTTCATCTTTTTTCAATTTTCAGAACGAGGACACCTACTGGACCACTTTCTCCAAGTGGCTCATTGGTCTTGATTGGGCTGGATATTTGGATATCTAAACGAAAACTTTATGTCCCCCACTGTACTGCCTCGCATCACTCTGGAAATTTCCTAAACTTTGACCTAATTATTAATTTGTGCGATCTCACGTTGCTCATTTTTTACATGCTTTGAGCTTACTGTATTTTTCCATTTTTCCACCGATTCTTCAAAAAGAACCCCAATAAATATTTTTACCCGTGAACTTTCGAAATTTAGGTTTTTTTCGAAAATAGAGAGCCTGCTGACCTTGAGGCATGTGGCATCGAGAAGGTGCTTGAAAGAGGAAGCTGAAAATTTACAACAAGGTTTTCAAAGTGTCCATCCATGGCATCTGGTAGGTTTCGAACCATTTTTAAGTTCCAGGGATTTTGGGGAGTTTTAGGTTGGAGGGAGGTCTGAGGTTCTATGATTCTAAACACCGGATGTTCTAAAATTTTCAGATTCTTAGATTCTAACATTAACATTCTAAGGTTTTTACTAAGTTTCTGAGATTCTGAGATTCTAAGGTTTTAGCATTCTTAGATTTTAAGCTTTTAAAATTCTGAAATGCTGAGATTCTGAAATTCTAATATCTTAAGATCCAAAGATTTTGAGTTTTTAAGATTCTAAGATTTAAAAGACTTGTTTGTAATTTTTTTCGAATTTTTTGATTCCTTAGGATTTGGAGGATTTTAAAAATTTACGATGTTTAGAATTCTGGGGGTTCTTAAAATTTCTGAAGTTTTTCGTATTTATAAAGTTTGGGGATTTTTAGAGCCTTTGGGATTTTTTTCAGATTTTCTAGTTTTTTTTAGATTTTTAGATTCTAAGATTCTAAAATTCTGAAATTTTAAGATTATGAGCTTCTAAGATTTTAAAGATTTTTGTAACTATTTTCAATTTTTGGTTTCATTTTTTTATATATCCGTAAATCTATGATTTTAAGATTGTGAAATTCTGAAATTTTGAAATTCTAAGATTCTAAGATTCTAATTCCAGAATATTTCTCATCTCTTCAATACATCTGGCTGAATATCGTTTTCTTCGTTTTCTCACTCTTTCTATTCGCCGTTTGTTTGTACGCGTGTCTATTCGTCCGATGGGTATACAAACGTCGACTGCGTCAGAAGACCGATGAGATGATCGACGCCTACAAGGATGAGGAGCAGAAACGAAAAGAAATGGAACTGAATTTGAAGCGACAGGAGTTAGAGTGTGAGTTCTAGATTTTACCAATAGAGCGCACTTTCCAAAAAAACCTAACTTTCAGTCCCCGAAAAGAAGAAAAAGAGCACATCGAAGCCTCGAAAAATCCACATCGTCCCCAAACCATGCAACCACACGACCCAAACGAAAAACGAGTTGATCGTCAAGACAGTAAACGAAGGACCAAGTGATGAGGTCATCTGTTCACCAACTGGACAACAACCTCAGAAATATCAGAATCCGCAGATTCTGAATCCTCAGGCTTTTCAGCAACAGCAATTCCAGCCCCAATACGTTTTGGTGCCAGTGGAGATGTTGAGGAATACGAAGACAGGTTTCTCGGATTTAGAACCTATAGATTTCTAAAAAAAATAATTTTTTAGTCAGAAGACCTTCTGGAATTCCGGCCAACTTTGATCCGTCTCTCCTAAACCACCAAGACCGCACAATTGTTGAAAGTGTGGCCACTCAAACATCAGATCGTCTTATGCTGAGCAATGAGACGGATTTGGAGAAGAAGACTTCAGAAGACTGGTTATCTGGATTTGACGAAAGAGACGGTGAAAAGATAGATGTCGATGAGGAATGTCAAGAACAGGATAGTGAGAGATGTATGAGACGTCGGAGAGATTGGGAGGATCGGAAGGCTCATCAACCTGTAGATTCAGATGAGACTCGAGTTTCGATGGAGAGTGATGCTCCACCATCACCGCCAAAGGATGATGATTCTTCTTCGGGAGTCACGTCTTCTGGAGTGACGTCATCTGGGGTGACATCTTCTGGAACTCAGCCTACTCCAACTTCTTCTTCTGACCCGAAAACTTTAGCTTCTTCTGGTGTAGATGGCAAAGATCAAGTAAACAATGATTCTGATGGTTCAAATGGAGCCAATGATGGCCGTGGAGGTCGTCACAAGCGATCCAGTCCGAAGAGATCCCCTCCGGGATCCGGAACCCCAGGATCAGGAGTCAATGATTCTAACGGATCGGATAGTGCCCCCGGATCTGGCCAATCGGATACCACTGGTCCACCACCACCACCGCCACCAGCTCCACTAGCTCCCAGGAGATCTCCACCCAAGCCTTACAATGGATCTGATGGTTATGGCGGAGCTTATGGACCATCTGGAATCAAAGGATCTTCACCTCCGAAACCAACGAATTCAGATGCTTTAAAAGGTCATGAAAATGGTTCAAAGGATCAGAACAATTTGAAGGATCCAAGACATTCTAAGAATCCAAAAGATCCGAAAGATCCGAAAGATCCGAAGGATCAGCAAAAACCACCGAATGAGGATAAGAGCTATGTGGCTAGCCAGTACATTGGCCAACCTGGGGAGAATGTTTCTAGTGAGTTCCCCTTTTCAATATTCGATTTTCATTTTAAAAATTCCAGACGTTCCACCTCCACCACCACCACCCAAATCATCGTCGCCAGCCGGCCGCGCCTCAATTTTCCCATATTTCATTGATCCGAAAGCTCCATCGGCCAGTGTGTCTACTAGTAAAGCGTCGTCCAAATACACGGATCCCGAGTTGGTTCCAACTGATTCGTCGTGTGCGCTGTGAGTTTTTTTTTCCAAATTTTGCGAGAACCTAGTGGTCCGTACTCCAAGGGCTAGAGGCCCAAATTTTGTGGTAGATTTTGTAGTCTAAAATTCCGAAACAATCTTCTTAACCTAAAAATAATTTTTCTAGGTACCGCCAAAAGAGAAAGAAAATGCCCGAAGATTCTGCCAAGATCTACACTGCAACTCCGAAAACACCAAAATCGGATCCTAAAAATTAATTTCTCTGTTTTTTCTTCTTCGTTTTTTTTCTTTTCACCACTACTTTCTCTTTTCTAATCGTTCGTTTTTAGATAACCTCCCCCTGTTCTTAAAATACATTATGGTAGTTTTATTGTCCTTTTCCCTTCAATAAATCGTTCATTTTTTATCTAATCTCCCTCCTCCACTCATTTTGCCCCCAGGTGACCTCATGTGATGAAGGAATGGAGAAGAAGGAAAAACGAATCATTTGTTCGGTTTGATTTATTGGATGTCATCTGTCAGAGATCAAACCATCAAGAGAGACACAGAGAAACAGAAAGGGAGATAGTGACTAGGGAGGGGGTGTGCTCCGGAGAGCCCTCCTGGCATTCAGTCTGTTTTCTTTTTTCTCTTGACTGGTCAGTTCTTGTATCCTGGAAGTAGTTGATATTGGGATGCGTCAGATCCTACTCTTATCTTTTCTTCTGATTGGATCATGTGAAGCGAGATGGTTCGGAAAGTTCGGAAGGGACCAGCCAAAAGGACTTCCGGTGATTTTGGGTGAGACATTTTAAATGACATTTTTTCCTGCTAGAACCTGAAAATATTTTTAGAACATTCTAAAAACTAGAAATTTACCGTACTTTAGGCTACCGTAGGCTCACCCAGACCATCAACTTTGGGCATAATTATCTCGATTCCTAAAAGAGATATCAAAAATTTATTAATCAAAAAATTATTTAACATAATATCGCCAATATTTCATCAGTTGCCAAAATTTTGATATCTTTTAAAAGAACCGAGATAGTTGAGCTCAAAGGGTTTGATTACCACTTTGCAAACAAAATCACTATTTTTTCAGTTCCCGGTGATGGAGGTAGCCAGTTGGAATCGAATTTGACCGGAAAACCGTCAGTTGTCCATTATGTCTGCTCGAAACAAACTGCTGATTTTTTCGATCTCTGGCTCAATCTGGAACTTTTTACTCCACTGGTCATCGATTGTTGGGCGGATAATATGCAGTGAGTTTTTTGGGGCTTCTAGACGTTTCTATCTCCAATTCGAAAATTCCAGACTCGTCTTTAACACGACCACTGGACTTTCGGAAAACATGCCAGGAGTTGACATCCGTGTCGTTGGATTCGGTGCGACGGAAGCTGTTGAGTGGCTGGATAAGAGCAAAGCGTCGCAGGGAAGATACTTCTTTGATATTGTCGATTCGATGGTGTCATGGGGATACAGAAGAGGGAAAGATGTCGTTGGTGCGCCATTCGATTGGAGAAGATCGCCTAGTGAGTTTCATTTTTGGAATCTTTGAAGCTCAGGAGATTTTCCACATGCATATACAGTAAAATATGTATTAGAAGAGTCAGCTCTGTTTCAAGGTACTTCCGGAGAGCCATTCTATTACAGGGGCTCTTAAACTAGAGGGGGCCTTCTATTTTTAGGTCATTTTTTTAAAAAAATTTTCATTGAAAATATGAATTCTTAATTCAAACCCACAGAAGTCATTGAATGATGATCCTAAAAACCCTCCAATTTATATTTTCAGACGAGTTGAACGATTACCTGATTCAGCTAAAAACGTTGATAGAAACAACGTACCGATGGAATGAAAACAAGAAAATCGTGCTTGTCGGACACAGTATGGGAAATCCGCTATCTCTATACTTCTTGAATAATTATGTTGACCAGGTGAGACTATCTTTTGGCTTTCTAGCGGCTCTTGAAATCTTTCTTCAGTCACTGAATTTCAGGCATGGAAAGACAAATATATTAACAGTTTCGTGAGTTTGGCTGCTCCGTGGGCTGGATCCATGCAAATCGTGAGGCTATTTGCATCTGGTTACAATATGAACTACTATCGAGTCATTCTTCCGCCAAGCGCCTTGAGAGGTATGCAAAGGTAAGTTCATAATCACTAACAATTGTAAGAAAAAATTGTAAGAAAAAAGTCCGGTACAGTACCACTAGCCCAACTTACCGTGAAACCTACAATTTTTTGAGGCACAATTCTGTAATTTCTGTGTATAAAGCTATTTTTCACTGTATGACCCTTTATCCGCCTACTCAATTGGTCCAAAGTTTTGTTTTCCTCAAAATGTTGAAAAAACAATTGTAAAATTTGTTGCCCCGCTTTGTATCTGGGTTTTAGCTGATTCTACATATCTGCATTCCAGTTTCCATAAAAATCTACCATAATTTCCAGATCATTCACCTCCTCAGCCTTCCTTTTCCCTAGTCCAGTCGCGTGGAAACCTACAGACATCCTCGCCCAAACCGCGCTTAAAAACTACACAGTCTCCAACATCAAGGAATTCTTCCAAGATATCAACTACATGACAGGATGGGAACAATACCAACAGGCCGCCCGTCTCAATGGAAATCTCAGTGCTCCAGGAGTTCCAGTTCATTGTATCTACGGCACCGGCGTACCAACACCAGAGAGATTCCAATGGGCATCCGGATACTTTCCCGATTATCCACCAACAGAGTTCATGGGTGACGGAGACGGTACGGTGAATAAGAAATCAGCTACAGTATGCTCGAATTGGATTGGGAATAATGGAGGAAAGAAAGTGACCGTTCATGAAGTGTTCCAAGCAGATCATATGGCAATTCTTAAACATCCGAATGCTATTGAACTCGTTAGAAAGGCTATTTTTGAGGAGATGTAATTTGTTTTTTTTTAAAGATTGTAAGTGTGATTGTGAAGAGGTACTACAAAACACGAAAGTTCCATATTCTTGTTCTAGTGTGCACAGAAAATCATAGTTTATGTTTGTAGAAACTTTTAACAAAGTTCGGGCTGTTGTGAAATGAAAACAACGAAGCATTTGACAATAGGGAAAATTTAAAATCGTTGATGAGTGAAGGATTTTCGCAATTTTCAAGATCACTCTCTTTGAAAATTTATTAGTAAAACTTTCGAACAGAAGAAAACTTGGCACGTTACACGACAAATCATGAGAAAGAAAACATTGGATGGGATTTCAAAAACTACTTTTTATCGAATCGATTAGCAATAAAATTCGATAGTTGGCTCAAAACGGACACATTGATGACCATGAGCATGTTGGAGAGCAATTCGAGCATTACAATATCTGCATCTAACAATTTGACAATTATGCGAACTCTGAACGGCTCTCATATTCTCTCTTGAGACGTCGATGGTTCCATCTATGCTTGGAGGATTTATGGTTTTTGGTTGATGGATGTGGAAACGAATTGTCAGTGGTTTCGCGAGTTGCGACCAGTCTGGAAATTTAAATTTTTCTTTAATTTTTACATAATTTCTGATTGTAAAAAAGATTATGATGATATTATACAACAAGTTTCTGGAATTCTGGACCGAAAAATTCTATTATGGCTCTTCTGAATTTTCGATTTTCTCAAATTGAAAATCATTCATTTCTTTAATGTTTAAATTTCCAATTTGACTTTCAGAACTCTGATTAATTTCAACTGTTTGGGTTACAGTAATACTTTGGTCTAATTTAAATGCATTTTTGACAAATTGCATTAGTTTATTTTTGGCGAGTTCTCAGATTTTTATTAAAAATTCAAAATCGATGAAATTCATCAAAAAAATCGAAAAATTAGAAAAAAGGTTGAAAGTGGAAATTGGTCAGGAAAAAAATTTGAAGAATCGAAACACTAAACACGGTGAGTTTTTCACTACCGCTGCTTCAACTTTGGAATTTTTTTTCTCGAATTCTAGTCCATAACTTTTTTTTCTGTTCCATAAATTTTTAGTAAATTTTATGAAGAATATATGGTAAAAAAATGAATCAGATTTTTTTTGTCCGTTGTACTTTAAAACGTCGCAGACTGTTTCGCATTCGGTAGTGAAAAACTCACCGTGACTAAAAGATTGAAAGTTCAAAAAAGCGAGTAGGAGCGATTCCTTATGATATTCTGATCCCTCCCACTTGACCTACAGGACTCTAGTCGGTCCGTCTGGTCATTTTACTTTTTTATTTGTACAGGTCCCATTTCTTGCCAAATTATCTATCGATTTCCCCCATGAATTGCAAATAAATATATTATTATTCAAACCAATTGGAAATCTAAACATTGAGAATTTTCAGGAATTCCAAAATTTAGAAGAGCCACCATAGAATTTTTTCGACCTAGTCTATCTAGTTTTCTGAAAAAAATATTTGAAGTAGATGATTTTATTATTTTTTTACGTTGGTGATTTTATTATGAACATCTTACTAGCAGACCAATTTTTGATATCTCTCTCAGAAAATGAGGTATAGAGGCTTAGAGTTTACAGTCCAGAGGTCTTACCGAATTTTTGAGTTTTGAACAAAAAAACGTCCAGAGATCACAAACTTGAAAAACTCCAAATTCCAAACCCTGTTAATTTTGAATGTTGAAAATTTTTAACACTGAAACTCGGAAATTTCTAAATTCTCTATTTTACAAAATTACAACACGTGATTCTCTCAAGATGAGTAGTGCAGAATGCTCTCTTTTCTTGACCCATCTCTTTTCATTCGTTTTTCAATTTCCTTGCCTTCAAATTTCTTCTTCTCCCAAACTCACCAACATAACACTTCTCTTTGTGCTCTTCGATGACTTGGTCGTCGTATTGCTCACCGCAAACAAAACAAGTTCGGAGTCCGTCTACTAAAAAAAATAAATTTCGAGGTTCAGGCAATTATTTTTCGGGAAGTTTCCTGGAAAAAAAAGGAGAAAGGGAACTCCAATTATAAAGGTGACCTGCTGTTCTCTGGGAGGTCCGGAAATATGAAAATTGACTGGGACCTCAAACCGGGAAGATGATCTAGAATTTTCTAGATCAGAGAATATTTCAGAAGGACTAGTTTTCCAAAGTTTGGGTTTCTAGACTATCATTCACCATTTTCATGATTGTATCTAGACAATGACCGTGTCCTTGGTCTTTCCGCTGTCATCTCTGTAGGCCGAATTTTCTTTCGTCTTCCGGATTTTGAGCGTCCCCGTTTTTGGTTTTGCTGAAAACTTGTATATGACCTAGAAAATTTGTATATGACCCCTGTATATGACCTAGAGAAGTTTTCGAGAACATTTGGCAACATTTTTTTTTGGGTTGTATGAATTTTTAAGAACGAAGTCACATTGCTAAAAGAGGTTTTTATAAGGTCAGACGTCATAAAAATGGAGTCAAGAAGCCTGAAGTTTTTTTTTTATAGCGTGTCTGTTTATCCGGATGTCCGGATGTCCAGGTTCAAGTTTCTAGGAAGCCTATGCTCCTGTATTATTTAAAATTTAAAAAAAAAACTAGATTTTCTAATTTTCAACATTTAAAAAAATGTTGCCTATTTTTTCGAAACTCGAATTTCTGGTTTTGACTATTTGAACCTATCTTCCGGCTCTGTGACGTTTCAAAATCTGATTTTTCAAAATCGAGATGATTCAGAACCGATACATTTCATAACCGCGACATTCCAAACATTGACATTTCAAAACCAAACGTCACCATGCAGGCGAATGGATAGGTTTTTTCTTCTAATTCGAAAACTCAGAAAAATTTAAAAGAAAAATTCAATTCTCCAATTTTTCGAATTTCAAAATTTTTGATTCTAAAAAGCATTTTTCAACCCCCTAAAACTATTTGTGTATCCTAAAACCTTTCCATTTGCCTGTATCATCACGGTGGCAAAATGCCCGGTTTTTAAAAGTCGAGGTTTAAAATTATTCAAAAAACCCCACCTGCATCAATTTCAACTTCTCCTGTTCCAGAATTTTCTGCATCGAGTCCACACAGTTTTTCTCGTGAATAGCCAACGAGTGTCTAGAATACAGTCTCTGACAGTGTGGACATTCCAAAAAAGTAGGCATTTTTTGGGGAAAATGCCAAAAAATAGCTTCGAATAGTTGACAAAAAAAGTGTGGGAGACGAAAGGGAAGAGTCTAATTTTTCATGAATTTCTAAGTGAATTCTGGGAGAAATAGAAGTAGAAGAGAGCCGCCGAGACGAAGAATAGAAGATGTTCGAATGCGATGAGAAGAGTGAGAGAGTGAGAGACGCAGAGAAAATTGGCTTCGTGGAGTAGAGAGCTGACTCTGTTTCGAGGTGTCGTTACTAGGGAAGAGTGAGAGAGTGTGAGATGTAGAGAGATGCAGAGAAAAAGCCAAAAGACGTGATAAAAAAAAAGCAGAGGACAGAAGGATTAGAGAATTGAGTCAATTCTTGTTTTGACTTGTGAGCAAGGAAATGAATTGAGATAGATGAAAAATAGAAATTTAATCAGTGAGAATTAGAAAATAGTTTTGCTGGTTTCAGAAAAATTGAGATAATTCAACTAATAGAATGTCTCACGAAGCGTCCACTTTGAGCCTATATATGTATCTCATTTCCTGAGACAGATATCAAAAAGTTGCCAACTGACAAAATGTTGATAATAATGTCAGAAATATTTTACTAGTTAAACACTTTTTGATAGCTTTCACAGAAACCGAGTTGAATCGGCTCAAAGTTGAAAGTTAGGGATCATTTTATAGTGATTATGGTAACAGAAACCGTCGAGGCTAGAGTTCAAACTATCAACGAGATTTTTTTCAGTTCACTTTCAAAAACAAAATAAAAACTGTCAAATTTTTTAGCTGTTTTTATGCTCGAAAATGCTCAAATCTCTAAAGGAAACGACGAAATTCTCAGAAAACAATTTTTGCAAAAAATTTTTGTTTTGTCTATAATTAGCGATCATGAGATCATGATGTATGTACTAATTTAGTTCATTGAACATTTTAAGAAAAAGAAAGGATTAGATCAAATGAGTAGGCGGATAAAGAGTGTTACAGTAACCCAATGATAATTTCGGAACAATTTCAAGCAGTTTTAAACCTATAAAACCAATATAAAATATGTTTTAGGAGAAATGTATAAATTTTTAAGGCTCCAGAAATTCTTTAATTCTAGCCAAGACTAAATATGTTGGAGCCATTATTAAGCTTATAATTTGAAGTCAGAAATTAGTTTTTTTTTCAGAAATTGTGAGAAGACTCGTTTCTCCAAATTAGCTCTGACACGTACCACCAGGTGAAAAATGATTAATTCTCAATAGACAGATGAAATTGGGGGGGGGGGGTTTGAATGACACTTAATTTAATTAAAGATAGATACCTAGACCACCTTTGGAATAATTAATTTAGTTCTATGGACAAGAAGATTAGCAGGGAAATTTTAAAATTAAAATTATATTATAGTTAGAAAAAATTATTTTAAAGGTGGACATACTTGTAACGGGCCGGGCCGGGCTTTTTCCCGAATTTCGGAGGCCCGGCTCGGCCCGGCGGGCCTGTCATTCCACAAGTTTTGAAAATTTCAAAAAACGAAAAAAAAATTTTTTCGAGTTTTTTTTGATATTTTTTGATCAAACAGCCAAACAATCCAAAAAGCACAAAAAAAGATAAAAAATTGTATTGAGAGCTCAAAATTCAGTTCAAAATGACAAAATTTTTGCTACCGGGCCTTGAAATTTTCCTCAGGCCCGGAATTTTACAAGTATGAAGGTGGGGACATGGATTCAATTATTTTACAGGTGAGGACATCTGTCCTCCGAAAAAATATCCTGCCTTTGTTCCTTCAAGCACCGAAAACAGAGAAAAATTCAAATGGACTCGAAATATCAGTGAGCTCGTGATGAAACAGAAAATGGGAAACCCAAAATCAAACATGATTAGTCAAGCAAAAACAAAACGTATTTTTCTAATGTTTGGTTGAATTCCCATACAACTAATTATACTCAATAAAATGCTTGTCTTGAAATGGTTTCCCCATGATTTTTGAGTTTCTCCTCTACCAAATATGAGGGAAATTTAAAGCAAATGGAATAAAAAGTGACAGATCTTCACAAATTTCAGTATTCGTATTTTTCCAGTCCCAATATTTGTGTGTTTTCCTTTTGAATTCAACTTTAAACTTCATTAACACTTTTCGATGTTTTTTCTTTCTAAGCCGTCCCGTTTTTCTGCGTATATTCTTCCCACTGTCTGTGCTCCATACTTCTCTAATTCTCTTTTCTCTCCGAGAAGACGCATTGATAAGATAGAGTACATACTAAAAATGACAATAAAAAACTTGGCATATATTTTGATAACGGAATCGAGAAGTTTCATCAGCCAACTGTTTCTCGATTTTTGCCAAAACGAATCTTGTAGTCACTTTGACATGAATCTTGTAGTCTAGGAAAAATCTATTTACTTTTTGGACCAGCAGACCTCCGATTAAAAACAAATTTTTTTCAAGAAAATCATTTTCCCCCAGTTTTATTTTATTGAATTTTGAAAAAAATTTAAACATTTTGCATCCAGAATGCCCTCGAAAATCTGCATTATTGGAGCTGGTGCCGCTGGATTGGTGACTGCAAGACATGCAATTAAGGATGGACATCAAGTAATTTTCATTTTTTATCAAGTACAGTAATCCTAAATAAACATTTTCAGGTAGAAATATTCGAGCAAACAGATAAAGTTGGAGGAACATGGGTTTATTCAGAAGAGACTGGATGCCATTCCAGTATGTATAAAATTATGAAGTGAGTTAAAAAGTATGATTTTTCGATGTTCAGTTTTGAGCATGTATTTACAAAAATCCGTTTTTGTTTCCCAGAACTAATCTTCCAAAAGAAGCAATGCTATTCCAAGATGAACCATTTCGAGATGATCTTCCATCTTATATGAGCCATGAGGATGTTTTGGAATACCTGGAAGACTACTCAAAAGATTTCCCAATCTTTTTCAATACTACGGTGATCGATGTGAAAAAAGATAGTGAGCAGTGGAAGGTACAATTTTACTCTTTATATTGGGTTCTCTATACGTTTTCGGCTGCCGAGGAATTTTCACGTTTGAGATAAAATAATCGAAAAGGAGAAATATTATGAGAATTTACACATTAAAAACAACGATTACAAAGAAAGTTATTTTTAAATGGGAATTTTATGATTTTCCCCAGAAAATGTAGCGTGAACATTTATTTTCATTAAATCTGGGTTTTCATGAAAAATCCACAATTTTTTGATTTATTTTTTAACGTTTTTATCTTTACTATTAACAATCATCAAATTCTGTCTGTGTGTCCGTTTGTTCCCGGTTCCACGACCCTAGCGAAGTCCCCAGTAGACCGAAAATTCTCATATTTTCACAGATGATCAGAAATAGCAGCGAAATGTTGCCCGTCTATTTTTCATTTTGAAATTTTGTTTCTGACGTCATCTGGAGACGTTACTCCATTCCTACAGTGCAACTCTTTAGAAAATTATTTTCACGTCACTTCCGTCCAACCCCTCTATTTTTTTTTCTTATCCACACTATATCTGATAAAAATGTTATTTTGTGAAAATAATTATTTAGTCTTAGTTTTGAAAGAAGAGAGAAAGAAAAAGTTCAGTAAACTTTAAAATTCTGACTTTCTGAATCCCCTAACTTCTCAAAAACTGAATTTCGGAGATTCTGATTCCCGAAATTTGATTATTTTTTTCGAAAATGCGAAATTTCTAACCTTTCGGAACTCGAAAATACCGAGATTTGAAACTTCGGAAATTTTGAAGTTTGAAAATCAGAGAATTCAAATGTCCAATGTTTCGGAAATCCAGAAGTATAAAAATTCAGATATTCGGAATATTACGAAATTAAAAAATTTGAAAGTTAGAACACTCGAAATTTTGAAAATCCAAAATCTCGAAAGCAAAAAACCAGAAAAACCAGAAACTCAGAAGTTCAGAATATCAGAAAGCCCAAGTTCGGAATTTAGAAAATTCGGAAATTCATAAACTTTGTGAATCAAAAACTCAGAAATGTATTTTAGAGAAAATTCTGAAAGTCTGATTAGTTTTAAAATTTTTAATTTTGGGAATTTGTGAAGTAGAATCTCAGAAAGTCGGAAATACGGAAACTCGAAAATACGAAATTTCAGAAATTATGAGTTCTTAAATGAAGCATTTTAATAGAAAAATCTTTGAGTTCTAGAATCGCAGTTCCGAAAATTCAGGACTCCTGAATTTCGAAACTTCTGAAAAAATTATAAGTTGTCAAATTTCAAGATATTCGGGAATTCAGGAAAATTATTAGTTCTAAAGCTTTGGAAATTTTGAGCAGTTCATATCAACTAAGACACGTTACTGATTTATCTGTCCAAGCCCAAACTCAATCGGTTAAGGCTGTTGTAAGCGGGAGCCCGAAGGTTTAGCCCCGAAGGCGCAAAAGCAGACTGTCACTCCAGTTTATGAAAGTTGACAACACAATCAACTAAAACTTCCTCTTCTGATTCTCTCCGATTTGGAGATTCAAACGTTTTTAGTGAAGCCAGGAGATTGTAGCCGCCGACAGGCGGCGGAAATCGACTGGTTAAAATTAAAGAACAAAAACACAGAATCGTTCTGCAGAACACATCTGTGAGAGAAAAATATGACGCGAAAGTTAAATCACAGAATCGTTCTGCGGAACGTGAAGAACACAGTTTTGAATAGAAAAAAATAATTTCAATTTTTTCTGCGTGAGCACAGTATTTAAAAAAAAATTCATTTTGAAACTCCAAACGTGAAAATTTTGAAATTTGATCCCTCTTATATTCAATGAAAACAAGCTGCACATACTTGCGGACGGGCCCAAAGCGGGCCGTGGCGGGCCCTGTCATAGTTTCTTTTAGGATTGATATTTTTGACCAACTAAATTAGATATGGTAGAACTCTA